GAAAAGACATCCGCAATCTTCATTTAGATCTAGATCTAGAATCTAGATCTAATCTACATCTAGATCTAGATCTAGGCTAGCCTCGAAACTAGATCAATGATTTATAATGTCTGTCTATCTAGATCTAGACCTGGGCCATAGATCTAGAAGAACCTAGGTCTTCCCTGAGCCAACAGGCGCTGAAACTTTCCGAAATCACAAAAGAGTTCCCCTACCGGGTCTGTATACTTTGTGACTTTGTTCCCGGTTACCGGGTCTGTATACACTCCCATCAAATATTTCAAAAACTATTAATTGGCGACGGAAATCAAGTTGATATTCGTGTTCAGCGCATCAATATTTAGTAGAATATGGACAATTGGACTTGGTAGCTAAGTGAGGGAAAGTAAAAAAAAAACACCGAAAATGAAACAGCTTTCAGATGAAACTAGAATCTAGATCTAGATTCTAGATCTAGATTCTAGATCTAATATCTAGATTCTACTTTTGTAATAACTCCACATGCCCAAAAATTGACGAGCGCCTGATTCCACTGCGTCATGACACAGATCTAATCTAGATTCTATTCTAAAACAATATTTTGTCAGCAAACTTCAAGGTTCTGATCTCCCTCCATCGTAAACACACACACACGCAAACACAGAGATTTTTTGTTTGTATCTAGATCTAGATCTAGATCTAGATCGATAGTAAGCTAGGCAGCTACAAGGCCAAACTGATGAGCTAAGTGAACTAGCTTTATTTATATAAAAGTAGCAAAAAATTCAGAGGGCCAACTTTTGATGGGTTTCGGTCAGGCAGTCATTGACAGCATTGGTGAGTTTTGTTGGTGAGTATCGGTAAAAAGAAATGTCCAACTAGCAGACATGCCTACATATTCTACAAGTTGTAGAACAACAACAACTGCTACACCTACAAATCAGCTACTGAATCAACTCTACTTCCATAATAACAGGCAGGAAGACAGAATGTCCCAGTTTTCCCACTGACGTTTTTTTCCCCCCTTACTTTTATGATTTTATGAGTATGATCATTCACTGCATGGTCAAGAAATGACCAATCCAATAAAACCTTCAACAGACTCAATAATGCCAATACGATCTTTTGAAACAACATACCAATTCATCTAAAAGACAAAAATGTTCAATGAGGAAAAACAACAAAATAAACACACCAAGGGAGGGTTTCTACTATTCTAAAAATCTGAATAATGTGTGAGGGTGAGTACTCGATGCCAATCCAAGGCACGAGAGGTACCTTACTATGGAGAGTGAGAGTGAGTGCGAGTGAGAATCATGTGTGTATGTGAGCAGTAGATCTACGAGAAGTCCCTCTAGAATCTAAGGTCTTGTACACAGCCAAGAAAAACATCCTGATTCCACAGACTCTAAAGTCAACTCTTTACCTTGATACAAAGTGTGTAAATCCAATCAAGGCATTAGTTGCGTCTTGACTAGCCTATAGACTCGTGAGCACGATTGGAATCCATGTTCGTGTTCGTCCTCTGCTGGTCATTATAATACCACTCTATTTCTGTAACATTGAGCACCACCTGATTATGTTTGGGTTTGAGCCAATTTACACCAACGGCATACGAACTAGAAATGAGTCCCACAACTTGCAACGTAAATGCTTTAAAGGCAAATTTACGCCAGTGGATTAAACCCTAGAGCTAAACCTAGTACCATCATAAGCAAAGCAAAGCTAATTTTATAATTTAATGTAGAGAACTGTTGCAGTACGCAAATTTTGTCTTATTTTATTCCTGCGCTTGAACAAAGTTGCCAATTTGGATCACGCATTATATTATCTCTTAAAACTTGGCTGGTATTTGTTGCACTTGCATGCGCCCTCCACAGATTAGGCATTCGTCAAAACACTGTAGAATGTGTACTGAGTATTCCCAACAGAATAAATGTTCTTTCACAATTTTTTTTGTGCTCACACACACACACACACACACACATATACGCATGCATCCTCATACAAATACAGCGTTACACACACGTACATAATATATACATGCATACACTCACGTGCGTGAGCACCATACACGTATAGTTGTAGGCCTTGACTTAAGACACATGCACCC